CGGAGGTCTCCGCGGCCTCCCCCGCCTGGCGCGCGATCGCCATCCACTCCTCCAGCTGCTGCCGGGGGGACGGTGGGGGGGAGAGAGGGGGGGACGAAGGGGACGAGAGAGGGGGGGCAGGGTGGGACATCTCGACCGTGTGAGGAAGCTTCACGCTCAGACTGAGAATCTTCGTTTCTCCCTGGAGGAGGAATCCGAAGAGCTATGAAGCTCCTTGTCACAGATGTCCAGTAGGGGCACGGGGTCAGCATCAATGACGGATATCTGAACTGGACCTGGGTCTCGATAAGGGTCAACTCACCATAAATTCGTGTTTAAACGTCACCAATGGAGAGGCAAATGTGGCTGGGTGTGGTGCCAGCTACACCATAGCACTTGTGTAGTGGGTTCGAATTAGGTGCACACACACACAGCTTGGAGGCAACACTATTTATTAAACGGTAAGTAATATAACACTGTACATGAGGTGGTGACCACCTTCCTCAACTCACTAACACTCTGGAACACGACACAGAGTGGACCAGGCAGGCAACGGGCTGCCTGGTCCAGGACGACGACCCAGAACTTGAGGACCGATGATATCGTCTTCACTTCGGAGTACAACAGCCTCGCTCTCCGTTCACACCCCGCTTATATCCCCTCCGGCGTGGCCGGCTCTGCCCAGGCCACGCCTCCCTGCCCAGACCACGCCTCCCTTCCCCCACCTCACGGGAGGTCTGGGTCCCTCCACCACGTGACCCCCCAGGCACCCCCTTGGGGCCCCCAGCCCTTGTACGGGCCGACACAGTAGTGACGTCCTATGTCACTACACTTGTAAGGTGCATAAAATCCGTAGATCCCAATGCGCCCCCCCGTGTATGGAAAGCAGGGGGCACAAACAGAAGCTGCAGGGTAAGCGGCCACACCTCGGTGGGGTGTAAAGGCCGGTTTAAAGAGGCGAGTTTTCGAGGCGGAACTTAGACAGCTCTCACGACTCGGATTGTTTCATGACCAAAGCGTTGTTCCGTAAGCCTGCGAGCCGCGCAGTGGGAACATCTCGATCAACCCCAGGAACGGAGCCTTGACCTCTGAGAACTCGAGAAGGAGGCTATGCGAAGATCGCAGCGACCTCGTTGGGAGAGTCGGCACGGAATGAGTTCCTGTGAATATTGCGGGGCTAAGCCCACTGAGGGTCTTGTAAGGCAGAGGCAGCGGCGTCTCATAGTCCACCCGAGTGTGAGTGAGTACACGCGCACACGTGCATTTACCCACGTGCATTTATCCATGTGCGTTTATCCACGTGCGTTTATCGACGCGCGTTTACCCACATGCGTTTATCCACGTGCGTTTATCGACACGCGTTTATCCACGTGCGTTTATCGACGCGCGTTTACCCACGTGCGTTTACCCACGTGCGTTTATCCACGTGCGTTTATCGACACGCGTTTACCCACGTGCGTTTACCCACGTGCGTTTATCCACGTGCGTTTATCGACGCGCGTTTACCCAGTGCGTTTATCCAAGTGCGTTTACCCACGTGTGTTAACCCACGTGCTTTAACCCATGTGCGTTTATCCACGTGCGTTTAACCACGTGCGTTTACCCACGTGCGTTACCCGGCGCCGGTGTCCCCGAGGCATCAGGACCCCGCATCTTTGTCCCTCGCTCCGCTGCTGCCGCCGCCTGCCAGAGAAGGAGACGACGTCGGCGGGGGTGCTGGTGGTGGTGAACGTTCAGCTTGGCCGCTCGCGTGCGGTACGTTCACTCGGTGTCACCCGACGAGAACTCAAGGAGACCAGGATGAGTCTCCAAGTATGAAAGACGGGAACAGGTTTCTGCCCTGGTTGCACGCTTGCCGCGAGTGCTGTGTGCGGCGTGGTTAATGCAGGAACTTGACTCCTTGCAAAAGGTGTCTAATTGGTGTTTGAGCATCGTAACGCCTTCTGTTGTATTGCCAAACAGGGTAAAACCTATTCTTAATTTTTCATACTAGGAGGAGTCTCATTCGCGAGAGCGACTTGGGGGCATTTGTTTGCCAGTAAGCAGGAAGGGGGGGGGGGGGGAGGTGGTGATGAGTGATGTACGAGTAATTTAAAATTTGACATTTGAGCCCTGTGATGCCCGTGGCGCACATGGTGGCCTGCTCTCGCGAAGCACCAATAACCGCGGGGGGGGGGAGGGGCGGCCGCCGGACCTCTGCGACGAGCGACGAATGCGCCGCCACCGGGCCCCCGCCCCCTGGCGCTCCGTAGGTTGCTGCAAGGTGCCGGAGGTGCAGGAAGAGCGAGAGAGAGCGGGTGACTCAGAGAGAAAAGACGACTCTCAGAGAGAGAGAGGACGACTCAGAGGAGGGGCCGGAGGCGTTTCCACAGATGAGGAGCGGGAAGGCAGCAGCAGCAGTAGAAGCCAAGCGGTGGTGAGGAGCCGGTGCCACTAACAATGCCCAAGCTCTGTGGTCCTCTATATATCAACATGTTATTAGCCAATGAGTGTTTTTACGTGGGAGGAAACTGGAATACCGGCAAAAAACTCTCGTGTGTGAGGGGGCAACGCTCTATCCCAAACAGACGGAACAGGTGGGGTCCACATTTTTGCTGGGGAGCCAGTAGGTTGCTGCAAGGTGCCGGAGTTGCAGGAGGTAGCGCCGCTCACCTGCTGCGGTGCCTCCTTCGCGTGCGCCGCCAGGGTCTCCTGCAGACGCAGGATGGTCGCCAGGACGTCGCGGCTGCCCTCTTTCCTCCTCGTGATGCCGCTCGGCGTCTTCCGGGGCTCCACTCTCTGGGGTTGGCACAACGAAGAGTACGGTGAGCGCGACGCGGAGCCGGGTGGCTCGGTACGGTGAGCGGCCGCGTGGCTCAGTACAGTGAGTGACGTGGCCGCGTGGCTCAGTACGGTGAGTGGCGTGGCCGCGTGGCTCAGTACAGTGAGTGACGTGGCCGCGTGGCTCAGTACGGTGAGTGACGTGGCCGCGTGGCTCAGTATGGTGACGTGGCCGAGTGGCTCGGTACAGTGAGCGATTGCGGAGCCGGCACTGCTAAGGTCCTGAATTGCAATCAGAATTTCAGCCCCAACCACGGTAATTAGACCGGGGTCTTATAGACTCACACAGAGAGCCATAGACTCACGTAGAGACCCATACACTCACATAGAGACCCAAAGATTCACATAGAGACCCATAGACTCACACAGAGACCCATAGACTCACACAGAGATCCAAAGATTCACATAAAGACCCATAGACTCACACAGAGACCCATAGACTCACACAGAGACCCAAAGATTCACATAGAGACCCATAAACTCACACAGAGACCCATAGACTTAAACAGAGACCCAAAGATTCACATAAAGACCCATAGACTCACACAGAGACCCATAGACTCACACAGAGACCCATAGACTCATACAGAGACCCATAGACTCACGTAGAGGCCCATATGTTGCTCGCCACTGTAACCCCGGGTTCTCAACCATAGCGTTCTGGGTCACCAATCATCGTGTTGCTCGTAATTATATGTATTTACAAATCGCCTTTCATCAGGGATCTCGAAGCGCTGGACAATACACAGCAAGCAGACACCCAGCATGCCAATACATTTTTTTTAACTAATACAAAATAATGAAAGCAGTTATCTGAGTCCGTTCAAAGTTGAACAAATGGAAGATTTAAAGACGTTTTTCCAAAAAAACTAATCCTCGATTATGAGCACAGGCATATTGCAGTTTGATCGACGTGTGGAACGGGCGCATTCTGCGGGACGCGTAAAAGACGCGCGCCAGGCTGTTGGTGTGTGCAGCGGCGCTGCGGCAGGCCCCGCACGCTGGCTCCTGGAAGCCCGGGGCTCGTGTTTCCGCCACACAACGCCACGTGGGGCCTGAGGCCCTGGCATAACCGACCCTTTCGCCCTCCCCCTCCCCAGGGTCTCCGTAGCTCGCGCAGACACCAGCAGAACTCGGCGGACGGTGGCTCACGCTGACCCACGATCCTTTCGCTTCGGCCCGACCTTTACCTCCTCAAGCTCTCGACCTTCGCCAACCGCCGCCGCATCTGAACCAGAGGTCGCAAACGGGTTTTGATTCCTTACCCGTACCCGTACCCGGCCGCACCAGGGTCGCAAATGGGTACCCGTACCCGGCTGGGTACGGGTAGCCGTTCCCTACCCGTACCCTACCCGAAATGAGTGACAAACGGTTACTCACCAGTGACTCACGGTGTACCCGTACCCGTACCCGGCTGCACCAGGGTCGCAAACGGCTACCCGTACCCGTACCTGGCTGGGTACGGGTAGCCGGGTATCGGGTAGGGTACGGGTATCAGGGTACCCGGTTGCGACCTCTGATCTGAACTGACCTCGGCGCTCGCCGCGGGCCTCACCGTGGAGCTGTCCCGCCTGGAGCCGCCCGCTTCCTCGCTGCACGTGGTGGAGTCCGAGATCTGGTCGAGCGACTCCTCCGAGGCCGACTTGTGGCCGGGGGAGAGGGACGACGGGGGCGGCCGCTCGCTGGACGACGTGACGGCCTCCCGCGAGGGCTGCTTGTTGGGTTGTCTGACAGACGACGACGACGACGGCAGGAGACGAGGGCGACGTCTTCTCGACTGCCGCTGGAGGAGAAGCTGCCGGCTTCTGCTCGTTAGTTTGAGACACGGTGGGTGGCTCCTGGTGCTCAGATTGAGAAGCTGATGGCTTTTGGCGATCCGACTTAGAGGCGGCAGCCTTTTTCTGGTCAGATTGAGAATCTGCTGGCTTTCGATTGTCAGACTGAGAAGTTGACGCTCTCTGCTGGTCTGGTTTGGTGCTTGCTGGTTTTTGCTGGTCAGACTTAGAGGTGGGCGGCTTTTGCTGGTCAGGTTTAGAGCTGGGTGATGGAGAGACGGCCGTTGCCTCCTCCGCCTCCTCCCTCCTCCTCCACAATCTCGGCACCTTTTGAAACCTTGCGTTCCGGTTTCTCCGGAGACTGCAAGTGCCGAGTGGTTGGCCTGTGCGGCAGGGGATGCGCTGCTTGCCGTTGTTCGCGTTGCCGTTGTTAGCGAGCGCCTCGCTGGGGACCCCGGCGGGAGGCGATGGCGTCCGGACGGCCGTGCTCGAGTTGGACGTCCGTCATCGTCGTCGTCTTCGTCATTATCGTTGATGATGATGATGAGGTCGCCTTGGCTGCCCGGATTGGCTTCTCAACAGGACCGGGGATCTTCGCACCGGGCGACTTCACGGCTGACGAGCCCTGCTGCCCATGCGACGGGTCAGGAGGCAGGTGCTAGGGTTCGAACTTTTGCCCGTCACCTCTCTGGCCTCCTTCCCCTTGGAGGGGGCGGCTGCTGCTACTGCCGCTGCCGTCATCACCGTCGTTTTTGAGGTGGAGGAGGGCGCTGTTGGTTCTGCGACCTTGCTGGGCTTTTGACCCTGAGAGAGACGAAACGTAGCGATGGCCTCTGTGCGTGCGTGCGCCTGTGAGCGGTCGGGTATGGTGCTGGCCACCCACCCGCTCGTGTACCGCTCCGTCCTTCATAGGTGCTTGCTAACAGGACTTGCCCCAAAAGTCTGTTCAGAAGAGTCCCTGTACCATACTGTACACGGACTCCTTTACTTCCGAACTTTCAGAGATACGAACAAGCCTGTCCATATATCCAGTTGCTTGTTCAGACCGAGAGGCGTAAGTTCAATAAATGGTGGTGGTGGCATCTACATCTGCAGAACATGAAGAACCAGTGTAATCTACATCTACAGGAGATTATTAAACTTTTAAAGCCATAAGTTGGACTTACGAACAAATCGACTTATGAACAGACCATTGGAACCTAACTCGATCGTAAGTAGAGGAATCCCTGTATGTGTGTGCATGCATCTCTGTGTGTATAGGGAGCTGTAGTGTAGCGGATTAACGCTACGCTGCGCTATGAACCTGGTGACACAAGGTAAATTCCCACTCACGGTCCGTGGGTCGGCTCAGCCTCAAATGAGTACCTGGTGCAGTGCGTAAACATCGCCACTGGGGAGACAAAGGCGGTCCGGCGTGGTGCTGGCCACCCACCCCCTTCACAGGTGCTCCTCTCTAACAGCACTTGCCCCATTCAGTCTGTGAAGCCTACACGGGGGACCTTTGTGTTTGCGCGCGCGTGCGTGCGTGCTACCTTGCCGGACGGCCTCCGCTGGGGCGGCGGTGGCGCCTTGCGCTTCTTGACCCCGTCGCCACCCCCATGGCCGACACCCTCCTTCCCATGGTGCTGTGCGGCCTTCTGCTGGGCAAGTGGCCGCACCGTCACACGTGGCAGGGCGTGGGATGTGGGGGCACAGGTGTCTCCGCGGCGGGGTGGCTACGCACGTGTGCCCAGGTTGGATGTGTGTGAGGTTGTGGGTGTTGTCAGGGAGGTGTGGTTATAATTGCATCTGCGGTGTCTGCAGTCGTGTGGTTATAGCTGCCGCTATGGCTGTGCATGTAACCAGTGGATATTGGCGTGTATAGGTTTGTGGTTATAGATGTGCCTGGAGGAGTGGCTGTGTATGTGTAGAGGAGTGAAATGGGGATGCGACGTCAGGTGTGCCGTTCAGTGCGATGACGTCACGTCTCCTAGAGTACTTAAGGGAGACCCTGTGATGAAAGCGGGGTCACTGTGGGAACGGGTAATGGTAGAAGGGTAGAGAGAGAACCAGGGGTAGAGGGATCAAGAGGTGAGTCTGAAGAGAAGCCGGTGGTAGCCGTAGAGGTGCTTCTCTCTCCGGTCGGTGGAGTTGGCAGAGTCCCCGATCCGACACGAGAGAGAGAGACCGGAGCTAGCCGGGCTGGGACCAGACAGAGCAGGGTCGTGTGGCGGGAGTCAGTGTAGGACCCCTAACCCCTGGGAAGTTATATACCCTGTGTGTTATTGTTATATCCTTGATAAACCTCTGGCGGAAGCCTCTCAACTTACCTGCGTCTCCGAGGGCGTCGGTGGAAACTCCTCAACATATGTATGTGTCTAGGCCTGTTTGTGTAGTTGTGAATGTATGTGTATTACAGGTGTCTGGAGTGGTGGCATAATGGATAGCAAACTGATTCCGATTCCCGGCCACGGCTAACATCTGGACCAGTCCTAAGCCCCCGCACCCTCTTCGCCAACCCGCACTGAACAGAGCGGTGAAGTATGGTCAAACAACCTCCATAACCGGCATGGTGTGGGGAGGCCTTCATCCAGCAGTGGATTGACAAAATTGTTATTATTATAGATGTGTCTGTGTGGTGTGTTTGTGTGTGTGGGGAGCGGTGGCGCAGTGGTTAGCACACTGTGCTAGGAAACCGGTGAGACCCGAGTTCAATTCCTGCTCACGGCCAAACATCGGTGATATCTGAATGTGTCCTGGTGTGTGAACATCATCACTGGGGAGACAAAGGCGGCCAGGCGAGGTTCTGTCCGCCCACCCCCTTGTGTGCCGTGCCCGCCTTATTAGGGGCTAGTCGCTAACAGCACTTTCCCCAACCATCCATTAAAGGCTATATGGGGGATCTTTGTCCTTATAGGTCAGGTGTATGTGTGGCTGTACCTGCTGGTGTGTGCCATGTGCTGGCCCTGTGGACACACGAAGCTTGGGTCAAGAGATCTCCATCACATTCAGCAGCTAATACACAATTTCCTCTTCTTGGTTATTTCGGTAAAGTCACGTAGAAGGGAAATAATAAAATAATAAAAATAAAACAATAAAATAAAATTCTCACGACGTTTCGGCCACAACGCAAGCAGCCGTCCTCAGGTGAAGACAGAGCTGTCTGAAAGACAGCGCTCCAATGAACACTGCTAAGCTTGGCAGCTTATTTTAAGCTGGGTGGGAGGAAAAGAGTGCCTTGACAAAGGTGTTTACATATCAACAGAAGAACTTAGCATTGAATAAGCTGTGTTAATGTGAGAGAATTAGCAGGATGTTAAAGTCAGAAATTAGCATGTAACTGGGAGATTAGCATGATGTTAATGTGAGGAATTAGCATGTAACTGGTCACGGAAGTGGCTATGTTAAAGTCAGAGTTTACATATCAAGCTAATAAAAAAAAAGCTAATACATAATTTTTTGGGTTAGATCGCGTAAACATAAATGTGTCGTTAAACCCGCCACCACCCGACACAGCCAACTAGTAAGGGTTGTCACATAAACAGAACGTGCCAATTCGTCACTAGTACAGCACTAACCGGTGTGTTGGAGAGCAAATCCACAACATTTACAATCTGAGCACGACAGTAATTACGACTATCTTCATCAGGCGACAGCCAGATTTGTGGATAAATCGTCCTGTTTCGTTCCTTAAATAGAGGGGTAGATGTGATGACGTCACTTGTGAGCCCTTCTTGTGTGAAGGGGGGGGGGGAATTAACGAATGCATAAAAATTACAATGGGTATCCATTGCCGGTTGGGTTATTCATATGGTAAGAATCATACATTATGCATGCACATTGTTCTTTTTAAGTGGCTGTCAGGTGGTGGCGGGTTTAACGACACATTCATATTTGCGCCATCTAACAAACAAAAACCTACACTGGTCGCGAAAGCCTATTAAGTGTTAAGCAGCTAATACTTTTGCCCAGGAGACGCATCCATGATGAACCCCATGTGAGGCAGCCACCCAGCCTTCACGCATTTCATTGCATTCATAATCTCAAGTGCTGCAGGGCCATTTTGATCTAACACCAGGAATAATATTCCTGAGGACAATGCGATCTCAACAGTGCTGGCTCGGTGTCTCAAACACAGCCAGACACTGGGCCTGGCTGTGGTTTGGTTTCCACTCTCACCCTTGCCGGGAGGTTGAGTGGCTCCACGGGAGGACGCCATGGCGGCGGTGGTGGCACTGGCTATGGCAGCGACGGCGCTGCCACTGGCGCCGCTAGCAGCAGCGCTGGCAGTCGCTCCGCTGGTGGCGGTTGTGGCGGTTGTGGCGGTGGTGCCGATTTTGGCGGTGGTGGCGGTAATGCCGCTGGTGGTGGTGGTAGTGCCGCTGGTGGTGCTGGTGGCCGACGTGCCGCTGGTGATGTTGGCGCCACGGGCGGCGGCTTTGCCGGCGCTGGCGGCTGTGCTGTCAGTGCCACCGGCGGCCGCTGTCGGCTTGTTCTTGGCTCTTAGCAGCTCCAGCAGCCCGGGGCGGTTATCGGCGCACAGCACGGCGTAGTGAGCGGCGCTGTTCCCCAGGAAGTCGGCGACGCTGGTGTCGGCGCCGGCGCCCAGGAGGACCTCGACGGCGCTGCGCCGCCCGTGCTCGCACGCGCGCATCAGAGGGGTCCTGCAGCGCCCCTCCCGATCACCGGAGGACGAGGGGAGGGGGACGGGAGGCAAAAGGCAGGGAGGATGCAGAGGTGTGTAAAGGGAGAAGTGGAGCGACAGTGGGAGAGATGGCGCGGGAGATGGGGGCGGAGGAACGGTAGACACGGAATGGCAGAGTGGAGATGGAGGAGGGGTGAAGGAAACAGTGGGCGATGGGATGGGAGACTGGGTAGCGATGGAGGGGGAGACGGAAGGGAGTTGAGGGTGGAGAAAAGGTAGAGGATAGGGGAGATGTGGGATTAGGAATAGGGATTGCAGGGGGTGCCATTTGGAGAGAGAAGAGGGAGATGGGAGCTTGGGGGGAAAGACAATGCAGACGGGGAACGAAACAGGAATGACGAAGGAAACGGGGGAGGGGGGGGCATGACCATGGAGCATGGGGGGCGTGGGAGCGGAGGGGAGGACAAGGGAGGGGGAGGTGAGACGCGAGAATCACGACGTTTATCGTGACACAGGAGGTGCCGTCCACTCTTGGACCCCTCCGTATAGCCGCGTGTGGTGAAGCGGAGCGCCCCAGTGCGCTGCGTCGAGACCGATTCAGGTTGTCGCCGCCGTTGACTTCGGCGCCCTGCTGGAGCAGGAAGCGGCAGACCTCCGCCTGCCCGAAGCGAGCCGCCATGGCCAGCGCCGTGTCCCCTTCCTGTCGCCAATGGGGGAAGGGTAGCGAGGAGGAGGGGAGGGCAGGCGAGTGGCAGAGTCATTTATCAGGATCGAATAACCCTACAAAGTGTGGTGGACTTTATCTGGGTTTTTCGCGAACTTCAAAAGTTCTACACGATTTGGGGGGATTGTCTGGGGCTCTTCCCAATTCACCAACCTCAATTTATACACAGACACTTCCTGTTTCACCGGCCTCACTTCATACACAGCCACTTCCTGTTTCACAACCTCACTTCATACACAGCCACTTCCTGTTTCACAACCTCAATTCATACACAGCCACTTCCTGTTTCACCAACCTCAATTCATACAGAGCCACTTCCTGTTTCACCAACCTCACTTCATACACAGCCACTTCCTGTTTCACCAACCTCACTTCATACACAGCCACTTCCTGTTTCACCAACCTCACTTCATACACAGCCACTTCCTGTTTCACCAACCTCAATTCATACACAGCCACTTCCTGTTTCACCAACCTCAATTCATACACAGCCACTTCCTGTTTCACCAACCTCAATGTATACACAACCACTTCCTGTTTCACCAACCTCACTTCATACACAGCCACTTCCTGTTTCACCAACCTCACTTCATACACCGCCACTTCCTGTTTCACCAAGCTCAATTCATACACAGCCACTTTAACAGGGATTAACGTCAACTGGCTCTGTCCGTCTCAGTGACCCCAGAAAAATATTTCCGCACGCCTGGCACACCACGTGCAGTCGTATACCTCTCGCTACGACTGGCCCACGAGTCGCGTGTCGCTTACTCCACTCAGTCGACCGGCAAGCCGGAATACATTCAGCAAGGACATTAAGCCCTGCACTTCCCTACTTGGACTCACCAGCCTAAGTTTCGTACTCAACGCTGGCCAATCGGAAGCTCCCCTAAGGTCGCTGACCCGGGAGGCTGCTCAGAGCGAGAGGTCGGGCGGTGGGCAGGCAACAAACCTCGTCTCTCGTGTTGACGTCCGCCTCGTTGTCGCACAGAAGTTGGACGGAGAGAAGGCACCCACAGGCGGCTGGGATTGGCAAAAACGCAAGGGGATGAGTGATGGTCGTGATATCATTGTGATGGCGATAATGATCATTGCGATGGTCATGATGGTAATATCGTAATGGTGATGATGATCATGGTGATGGCCGTGGTGGTGATACTGTAATGGTGATGATGATCATTGTGATGGACGTGATGGTAATATCGTAATAGTGATGATGATCATTGTGATGGCTGTGATGGTGAAATTGCAATGGTGATGATCATTGTGATGGCTGTGATGGTGATATGATGGTGATTTCGTATTGGTTATGATCAATATGATGGCCCTTACCTGCATAGTGCAGTGGAGTCCGGCCGGTGTTGTCCTGAGTCCCCACCGGACACATGTACTGAGGGAGACACACCACGGTAGACACAACTTCTCCCGAGCGTCCTACAACCCAGAGCGGCTCTCCCGGATAAATAAGAAAACAAGAGTTGGCTATAAATTTTTTCGTATTATTTCCACCTTACCTGTGGGTGCCATCTCACCTGTATGAGCTTCTTGATGCACTGTGGCTGACCGTACTTGGCGGACAGGTGAACGGCCGTCTGCCCTAGAGAGATGAGAGGCCACGGCTGCCTTGAGACATGCGGCCATCTGAATGGACAACTTGTGCCACTCAGGGTGGACAACATTTGTTTATACGTCACTATGACGTAGTGTTAGGCATTATGTGTCTAGAAAGTCAAAGTCAGAGTGATTTCCAGCTAGAATGATCATTAATGCGTTGGTGGTCATCTCAACTCTGAGGCAGTGGTAGAAATTCCACGTTCCTTTGGCGTGGGGAGTACATATTTTATCGACCTCAGAGGGACGGATGGCCTGAGTCAACCCCCACGACCAGGATTTGAACTTGCAACCTTCCGATTTGGAGCTGCTCGCTCTACCGCACCTGCCTGGCGATGGTGGTGGCTACGTTGCACGTGGCTGCCGTGACCCGGACCTGTGGAGGCAGCAGCAGCGAGGGTTTGTGGATCACGCGCAGATGTTGATAGGGGCGCCGCGGTGGCGAGATGTTCACTGCCTCGCCTGGTATGCAGGAGATCGTGGGTTCGATCCCGACCCTGGTGCCTGTTGTATATTTGGAGTTTGCGTTTCTCTCTCTCCGTGATGTTGAGGATTTGTTTCCGGGTCCTCCGGTTTTTCCCTCCACATTTAGAATCAACATGCGTTCTTGGTATTTGGCTGCTATAAACTTCCACATGATACCTCACTTAGTTGAGCTATCATTTGTGATGGCCAGGTCGCTTCTGAAAAAGAGCTACACAGCTCAGTGGGGCCTTACACCTAGTAAAATAAAATAAAAATATAGTTTATCATTTAACTCCCATTCCCATGGGCGTCGTGGAGGAGCTGTACCCACTGGCTCTGACCCCCATACCGAATACACACTCGCAGGGTGTGTATTCGCCAGTCGGGCGTTATTCCAGATTAACAAGGGTGAGTAATGAATTCATGAGTACGGCCGCTCACGGCATCCGTGTGACGCCAGCGAGTGTCACCACGAGGCAGTGATAGCCGTACCCCCTGGCTCTGCCAGGAGAAGACGGCACAGCAAAACAAAAACACACGGACTCTTCCCATTCCCGTCTGCACGAGGCGTGTGTCTTTGCAGCTCGCTGCGCCCCCAAAAGGCCGGGGGTGTCGAACTCTGACCTGCGGCGTCCGTGGCCATGATGTCGACGCCGTGGAAGAGGATGACGTCGAGACACTCCTCGTAGCCCCTCGCCGCGGCCATGTGGAACCTGCACAGGGAGAGGGTAACTCATGCTCTGTGGCCCCCCAGGGAGAGGGTAACTCACGCTCTATGGCCCCCCATGGAGAGGGTAACTCACGCTCAGCGACCCCCCAGAGAGAGGGTAACTCACGCTCTGCGGCCCCCCAGGGAGAGGGTAACTCACGCTAAGCGGCCCCCCAGAGAGAGGGTAACTCACGCTCAGCGGCCCCCAGAGAGGGTAACTCACGCTCTGCGGCCCCCAGGGAGAGGGTAACTCACGCTGAGCGGCCCTCGCTGTCCAGCTTGGTGGGCGACGCAGCCTTGCGTGCCAGCAGCGCCGCGATCCTCTCGTAGTCGCGGGCCTCCACGGCCGCCAGCAGCCGCTGTTCCGCCTTGCCCCACTCACCCTGCGGGGACAGCGACGGGAGGGGATGGTCAAATGTTCTTGTGGGTTTACAAAGATCCCCCCCCCCCCCCATACAGGGACTCCTGTATTTACGAACACTCGACTTACGAACTTTCAGAGATACGAACCAACCTGTCTGCATGTCCAGTTTCCTGTTCGGACCGAGATTCGTAAGTTCAACCGGCGTGCAATAGATGGCGGTGGTGGCATCTACATCTGGAGAAGGTGAGGAAACAATGGCATCTACATCTGGAGAACGTGAAGAACCAGTGGTATCTACATCTACAGAACGTGAAGAACCAGTGGCATCTACATCTACAGAACGTGAAGAACCAGTGGCATCTACATCTGCAAAACGTGAAGAACCAGTGGCATCTACATCTGGAGAACGTGAAGAACCAGTGGCATCTACATCTGCAGAACATGAAGAACCAGTGGCATCTACATCTACAGAACGTTAAGAACCAGTGGCATCCACATCTAAATATATATTATCAACCTTTAAAGCCATTCCCCGTGTTAAGTGTACATGACGTACAACACGTTTGGAATCGACAGGAGTAAAGTTGGACTTACGAACAAATCAACTTACAAACAGACCTCTGGAACCTAACTCGTCCCTAAGTCAAGGAGTCCCTGTAGCCTGAACAGACTGTTGGGGCAAGTGCTGTTAGCGAGCACCTATGAAGTGCGTACGAGGGGGTGGGTGGCTAGCACCACGCCCGACCACCTTTGTCTCCCCAGTGGCGATGACACCGGGTACTGATTTAAGGCTGAGTCGACCTAGGGAATGCCCAGGCCCAGGTTCAGATAATCGTCACCGGTGTTGGCCGTGAGCGGGAATCGAACTCGGGTCGCCAGATTCGTAGCGCACCGCGCTAACCGCGGCACCACCACTCCCCATTTGCTCTCCGACACACACAGGTAAACCCACAACAACATTTACAATGAGCCACCAGCGAAACGTCGTTAACTCGGATTGTGAGCGTCGTTGTGGGTTTCACTCTCGTGTCGTCGTTCGTGTCGTTTGTCCGTGTAACTCGCGGACCCCGTGCCCACTGCTGGACATCTGTGAACTAAGAGCTCCATAGCTCACTGGATTCCTCCCCCTCCTCCCTTCCCCTCCTCCTCCTCCCCCTCCTCCCTTCCCCTCCTCCTCTTCCCATTACCCCTCCCTCTTCACCCTCCTCCTCCCCCTCCCTCTTCACCCTCCCTCTTCCCCCTCCTCCTCCCCTCCTCCTCCTCCCCCTCTTTCCCCCTCCTCCCCCCTCATCCTCCTCCTCCCCCTCCTCCTCTTCCCTTTCTCCTCCTCCCCCTTCCTCCTCCCCCTCCTCCTCCCCCTCCCTCTTCACCCTCCTCCTCCCCCTCCCTCTTCACCCTCCCTCTTCCCCCTCCTCCTCCCCTCCTCCTCCTCCCCCTCTTTCCCCCTCCTCCCCCCTCATCCTCCTCCTCCCCCTCCTCCTCTTCCCTTTCTCCTCCTCCCCCTTCCTCCTCCCCCTCCTCCTCCCCCTCCCTCTTCCCCCTCTTTCCCCCTCCTCCCACCCCTCATCCTCCTCCTCCAGTCTAAATACAGATTCCGAGGAGGGATCGAACCGTCACGTGGTGCTTACCGATGACTTTATCATCCTCATCATCATCATGATCATCATCGTGATCCTCATCATCATCATGATCCTCATCACCATCATCATGATCATCACCATCATCATGATCATCACCATCATCATGATCATCACCATCATCGTAATCATCATCATCATGATCATCATCATCATCATGATCATTATCATCATCATCATGATCCTCATCACCATCATTATCATCATCATGATCATTATCATCATCATGATCATTATCATCATCATCCTCATCATCATGATCATCACCATCATGATCATCACCATCATCGTGATCATCATCATCATGATCATCATCATCATCATGATCATGATCATTATCATCATCATCATGATCCTCATCACCATCATGATCATTATCATCATCATGATCATTATCATCATCATGATCATTATCATCATGATCATTATCATCATCATCCTCATCATCATGATCATCACCATCATCGTGATCATCATCATCATGATCATCATCATCATCATGATCATGATCATTATCATCATCATCATGATCCTCATCACCATCATGATCATTATCATCATCATGATCATTATCATCATCATGATCATTATCATCATGATCATTATCATCATCATCCTCATCATCATCACCATCATCGTGATCATCATCATCATGATCATCATCATCATGATCATTATCATCATCATCATGATCCTCATCACCATCATGATCATTATCATCATCATGATCATTATCATCATGATCATATCATGATCATTATCATCATCATCCTCATCATCATGATCATCACCATCATCGTGATCATCATCATCATGTACATCATCATCATGATCATTATCATCATCATCATGATCCTCATCACCATCATGATCATTATCATCATCATGATCATTATCATCATCATGATCATTATCATCATGATCATTATCATCATCATCCTCATCATCATGATCCTCATCATCATCATGATCCTCATCATCATCATCACTATCATCGTGACCCTCATGATCCTCATCACCCTCATCGTGACCCTCATCAGCATGCGGGCGCTGTGGGCCGTGGTCACCGAGGCGATGAAAGTTTAATGGCGCCTCGTCGCCATGGAGACGCAACTCGAGCCCATCCGCGTGACGCCGTCGCGCGAGCAGGAGGGCGGGGCGAGTGAGCCACGCCCACATCAGTCGGCCGCTGTACATTCACCTGCCCGTCGATGTCCGTCACCTGCGTTGATGTAATGACCCAAAAAATTAACCCGTAAAAACAAAGTTTTTCACTATAAATCCTTTATATGCGTGGCATCGGTTTTATTTTATTATTCATTTCTGTTTTTCTTGAGTAAGAGTTTCATTTTTATCACATTGGTATTTTAAATTAAATATGACATTTTTTTTTTCCTAAAAAGTGGAAAATTTGGGAATTTTTTTTTCACGAAAATTAATTGTCACGCACAACGAGTCTGTGTGCAAAATGTCAGCTCGATTTGATCACGGGAAGTGGGTTAAAAAACGACCGAAAGATTTGCACGGTCGTAAGCGCGCAAGCAAGCAAGCAAGTGAACTTAATATAAAGGATTTAAAAATTACCCCCAAGTCATGTGCAGCCCGACGGCTATTTAAAAAAAATTAACAAAGATCTCCGATTGGAAGCGATTGGTGGCGAGGCAGACTTTTCAAGGGATTGCAGAATAAGGGGGTTGAACGGGGAAACGGAAATGATTCGTTAAAGGGAAAAGGACAGGGATTGCCTTGAGGTTTAAACAAGGACAAGAAGGTTCGAGAAAGGGAGCCGAGGGAGATAGAAGGGGAGAGCACGAGGAGTGGGGGACGCTCGGAGGAAGATGAAAGCAGGAGGACAGGAACGAAGCCTGAGGTCTATCGTTGTGGAAGTCTTTAGTAGAAAACTTCAAATAAAGTGTCTCTTCGTATCACCATGATGAAGAAGGGCCCGTCGCCCGAAACGTCGCATGTTAGAGTGTACATTGTGCGTTGAGGAGGCCCCAGGGGTTATCGACGAACGTGCTGAGTGTCGTTGTTATTATATGCCGTGCGTGTGTGCTTTTGCACAGCTGTCAAAAGCAATATCGCGTATTTATATATATTCACTACGTACGATGATTTTTCGTTTTCGTATCCATGAGGATTGTTTACAAAGGAAAGGCCTCGCCGGGTCACGCGACTCGTTTTCAGGAAGGCGCTGCCAGGCTGTTGTGCAAGTAGGGTCAATGATCGGCCACGTATACAATGAAGACCTTATTGATCACCCTGTGCCCCTTATACATCTCCACGTTCATCTTACAAAGTCCCATCACCAGGGAGAAACGCAAAAAAATAGACAATACTATTGTTTGCCCGTACTGAAACGGTTGTACGCCGTATGGACCTGTAAACTCACTTTCTCTGTACAAGAATAACACCGCATGGATTGACTGCAGCTATGATAGTGGTCCTTCCGTTCACGATTTTTATTGGTTCCGCGAAAACCGTTGTTAAAATGTTGAAATGACCGTTAATCGAACATAGGAAATACACGTTCAAGGCTTCCAAGTCCTCAGCAATTCTGCATCTCACAGCAGTGAGGCACCGTTGTCAAGGCCACACCACCACGCGGTGATGGTCTCATTCCGGTCACCAGTGACTTACATAGAGACCCGTAGACTCACGCATAAATCCATAGACTCGCATAGAGACCCGTAGACTCGCACAGAGACCTGTAAACTCGCATAGAGACCCGTAGACTCGCACAGAGACCCATAGACTCGCACAGAGACCCGTAGATTCGCGTAGAGACCTGTAGACTCACACAGAGACTCGTAGACTCATACAGAGACTTGTAAACTCGCATAGAGACCCGTAGACTCGCACAGAGACCCATAGACTCGCACAGAGACCCGTAGACTCGCATAGAGACCCATAGACTCGCACAGAGACTCGTAGACTCACACAGAGACCTGTAAACTCGCATAGAGACCCGTAGACTCGCACAGAGACCCATAGACTCGCACAGAGACCCGTAGACTCGCACAGAGACCCGTAGACTCACACAGAGACCCGTAGACTCACACAGAGACCCATATACTCACACAGAGATCCATAGACTCACTCACACAGAGACCCGTAGACTCACATAGAGACCCGTAGACTCACATAGAGACCCGTAGACTCGCACAGAGACCCATAGACTCAACACAGAGACCCGTAGACTCGCATAGAGACCCATCGACTCACATAGAGATCCATAGACTCACATAGAGACCCATAGACTCACTCACACAGAGACCCGTAGACTCACATAGAGACCCGTAGACTCGCACAGAGACCCATAGACTCATATAGAGATCCATAGACTCAACACAGAGACCCGTAGACTCGCAAAGAGACCCAGAGACTCACATAGAGACCCGTAGACTCACATAGAGACCCATAGACTCGCACAGAGACCCGTAGCCTGGGATCGAATCTCAACTGCGATCATTAAGCCTGCAAAGTCGTCGTACACAAAAAAACTAAACATAACAAGTGCAGCAATCCGGTGATACCGTCACATAATGAACTTTGCCAAGTGACCATCCCGGCTTCACGACGGACATGGACATCTATTGAAGCTAAAACATTAAAAACCTGTCGCCTCATTTCCTCTCACCTCTTCCCACATCGTCAGTTACTAAACAAAAAAAGAGTTTGATTTTTTAAAATAATAATAACCGGAGCCATTCACTGCCCAGACCACTTTGTTAATCCATTGCTGGATGAACACCATCCCCAGGCCGTGTCGGTCGTGGGGGGCATCTGTAGCCAACGATGCCATTCTCATCATAGACGTGACCTGATATTTTCAGTTTTTCAGTTTTCATTGATTAGGTATAGCCCTGTGAGCCATTCGGCTCTTGAATCGGGTGCAACCGCAACAAACAAAAAACTAGAACAAGAAAACATCTTAAAGTGACTATGTGACTATGTGCAAACAGAGAAATCCAGGAAAAAACAGCAAAGTCTTCCAGAAACATGAACGTGAACAAGAAAACATCTTAAAGTGACTACAGGCAAACAGAAAAATCCAGGAAAAAACATCAAAGTCTTCGAGAAAAAGCACCGCACATCAACATCGAACTCGGGTCCGCGGGCTTCGCTGACCACGAGGCTAGAACGCGAAGGAGATTGGTCCCAAATTTCGATTTAAAGCTTTCGTGACTGCAGCAGGGATTCATCTTCTTGGTTCTTTCGGTAAAGTCACGTAGAAGGGAAATAATAGAATGATAAAAAAAAAAATTAACAATCAAATTGTCACGACAGCAAGAATTTGTTTTGCTGTAGTTTTCACACCTGATGATGATGATTGTGTTGCAATCGAAACGTCGTGAGAATTTTAGAGTTTAATTTGTTTTATTTTATTATTTCCCTTCTACGTGAATTTACCGAGAAATCGGTCCCACTTCCCCTTTTCACGCCATCAACTCGCTCCTTCCTTCTTCCTCCTCCTTCCTCCTCCTTCCTTCCTTGTCCATCCTTCCTCGTCCATCCTTCCTCCACCTTCTCCCCCACACAACCCACGGCGCACCCCCCCCACCCCCCCCATTCAAAGAATCCAGCGTCGTTCACGCCGCGCGGACGCGAACGACGGAGCCGTCCAAGATCGCGAAGTGAAGATGGGAGCGACATCGTTACCTCATTCCTCTTGAAACGAGCGCGAAGGCTTTTCATGACCCCCGCGGTTCGCTGGACCCCCACGCGCTCGCGCCCCCCACCCCCTGTCCCGCCGGCTTCTGTCCACGACTCGAGGGCGCTTCGGGGGTCTCGAGAGGGGCGCCGTTACCGCTGAGAGGCACCACCCACAACCCCCACCCCCCTCCTCCCTCCCCTTGTGGGGTGAGCCCCACCCACAACCCACACCCCCACCTACAACCCACACCCCCCTCCTCCCTCCCCTCGTGGGGTGAGCCCCACCCACAACCCACACCCCCCTCCTCCCTCCCCTTGTGGGGTGAGCCCCACCCACAACCCACACCCCCCTCCTCCCTCCCCTTGTTGGGGTGAGCCTCACCCAGACCCACACCCCCCTCCTCCCCCCCCCTGTGGGGTGAGAGCCCCACCCACAACCCCCCCCCCCCTGTGGGGTGAGAGCCCCACCCACAACCCCCCCCCCTGTGGGGTGAGAGCCCCACCCACAACCCCCCCCCCCCTGTGGGGTGAGAGCCCCACCCACAACCCCCCCCCTCCTGTAGGGTGAGAGCCCCACCCACAACCCCCCCCCCCTGTGGGGTGAGAGCCCCACCCACAACCCCCCCCCCCTGTGGGGTGAGAGCCCCACCCACAACCCCCCCCCCCCCCCTGTGGGGTGAGAGCCCCACCCACAACCCCCCCCCCTGTGGGGTGAGAGCCCCACCCACAACCCCCCCCCCCCTGTGGGGTGAGAGCCCCACCCACAACCCCCCCCCCTGTGGGGTGAGAGCCCCACCCACAACCCCCCCCCCCCCTGTAGGGTGAGAGCCCCACCCACAACCCACACCCCCCTCCTCCCCCCTGTGGGGTGAGCCCCCCCCCACCACCCACACCTTCCCCTGTGGGGTGAGAGCCCCACCCACAACACGCAGGTGGTGCACCACCTGGCGCGCGCACACC